AATCCCAGGAGTTTGGGCCGAGACGAACCCCCCAGGCCTCGCAAAGGAACAGGCTCCAATCCATGTCCAGCTGACCGGCCCATGAGGGTGCGGCAGTACCCTATGACTATCGAGGCAAGGAGAGGGGTCCGTGAGAACATTTGTAAGCTAAAGGCGGCCGGGATCCTAGTCCCAGTTCAGTCCCCATGGAATACACCCCTGCTACCTGTAAAGAAGCAAGAGACGGGGGAGTACCGCATGGTCCAGGACCTCAGAGAAGTGACTAAAAGAGTAGAGACTATACACCCCACGGTGCCAAACCCCTACACCCTCCTGAGCCTCCTGCCTCCCGACCGAACTTGGTATAGCGTCCTGGATTTAAAGGATGCCTTCTTTTGCCTCCCTCTGGCCCCCAAGAGTCAGTTGCTATTTGCCTTCGAATGGAACTACCCAGAAGAGGGGGAGTCGGGACAGTTGACCTGGACTAGGCTCCCGCAAGGGTTCAAGAATTCCCCCACCCTGTTTGACGAGGCCCTAAGCCAGGATCTCCAGGGCTACCGGGTTGAGCACCCGGAGGTCACTCTCCTCCAGTACGTTGATGACCTCCTGGTGGCCACCAATACGAAGGACGACTGTGTCCAGGCCACCCGTGACCTTCTACAGGCCCTAGACCAGCGAGGGTATCGGGTCTCAGCAAGGAAGGCTCAGCTCTGTGTGAAGAAGGTAGTGTACCTTGGGTTCCAGATAGAAGGAGGAACCCGGACTCTTGCTGAAAGCCGGGTCCAGGCAGTTCTCCAGATACCTACCCCGAAAACCAAAAAGCAGGTACGGGAGTTCTTAGGCACGGTGGGGTACTGCCGGCTTTGGATCCCCGGCTTCGCAGAGATCGCCAAGCCACTACACTCAGCCACTGCGGGAGGGGCCGGTCCACTAGAGTGGGCTGAAGAGGAAGAAAGGGCCTTTCAAACCCTCAAGGAAGCTCTTATCCAGGCCCCCGCCCTTTGGTTGCCCAATTTAGAGAAGCCCTTTCAGCTCTTTGTGGCGGAGAATCAAGGTGTTGCGAAGGGGGTACTGACACAGACTTTGGGACCTTGGAAAAGGCCTGTTGCCTATTTGTCCAAAAGATTAGACCCCGTGGCGGCGGGATGGCCCGGATGCCTACGAGCCATAGCCGCAGCGGCTCTCCTGGTAAAGGAGGCCACGAAGCTCACCTTTGGCCAGAATCTGGAAGTGACATCGTCCCACAACTTAGAGGGGCTACTCCGGTCTCCCCCTGACCGGTGGATGACTAACGCTCGAATAACCCAGTACCAAGTACTTTTACTAGATCCTCCGCGCGTGAGTTTTCGACTGACCTCCGCCCTCAATCCTGCCACCCTGTTGCCTGAGACTGATGATTCTCTGCCCCTGCACCACTGCGGAGACCTGTTGGACACGCTAACCTCAGCTTGACCGGATCTAAAGGACCAGCCACATCCAGATGCCGAGGTAACTCTCTTTACAGATGGAAGCAGTTTTGTAGAGGATGGGGAGCGGCGTGCCGGAGCAGCAGTCGTCACCATAGACTCAGTAATTTGGGCACAGGCACTACCCAAAGGTACCTCGGCTCAGAGGGCTGAGCTGATTGCCCTTACAGAAGCACTCCGGTGGGTGGAAGGTAAGAAGGTGAACATCTATACTGACAGCAGGTACGCCTTTGCTACTCTCCACGTGCACGGGGCCCTATACAAAGAGCAAGGACTACTCACGGCAGGGGGAAAAGCCATTAAGCATGCAACCGAAATAGTAGACCTCCTGACAGCGGTCTGGAGGCCTAAAAAGGTGGCTGTTATCCACTGTCGCGGTCATCAAAAGGATGACTCCTTTGTGGCTACGGGAAACCGGCACGCTGACCAGACCGCAAAGGCTGTAGCCAAGGGGGACGGGGCAAGCATCATGGTCTTCAAACCCCAGTCCCCGGAGGAATTGTTTGAAGAACCACCCCATTACTTCAAAGAGGAGATAGCACTAGGCAAGAAGTTAAGGGGAAAACCCACCCCAGGCGGCTGGTATCTGTTGCCAGATGAGCGAATCCTCCTCCCGAAAGCAGTGGGGAGGCGGGTGGTTGAGCAAACTCACCACGCCACTCACCTAGGGGAGAGCAGACTCACTGAACTGATTAGAAAATATTACCTACTTTGTGGTATCTACAAGATTGTAAAGGACATTGTAGGACGATGTGTCGCCTGTGCTCAGGTAAACGCCAGCCCGAGCCCCCTGGCTCGAGAGGTAGGAACAAGAAGACGTGGGGACCACCCCGGAGAGCACTGGGAAGTAGGCTTCACTGAAATGACCCCGGCGAGGGGGGGGCTACCGTTATCTGCTGGTATTCATTGATACCTTCTCGGGTTGGGCCGAGGCCTTCCCAACCAAAGGAGAGACGGCTCAGGTAGTAGTGAAGCACTTAGTTAATGATATCGTCTCCCGATTCGGCCTACCCATCCAGCTGGGGTCGGATAATGGCCCAGCATTTATAGCCAAGCTCACCCAGCTGCTGGCCTCGACCCTCCAAATTACTTGGAAGCTCCACTGTGCTTATCGCCCACAGAGCTCAGGGCAGGTAGAGAGACTCAATAGGACCCTAAAGGAAACAATAACTAAAATGAAACTAGAGACTGGCGGCGACTGGGTAAGTTTGCTTCCTCAGGCCCTCCTCCGGGTAAGGTGTACCCCAGGGAAAGAAGGTCTCACCCGCTTCGAAGTCCTGTATGGACTCAAACCTCCCGTGGTCCCCCAGGTAGGGCTCGAACACCTAACTAACATCAAGCAACAGACTTTGCTTAAGTCTCTACAGGCCCTGCAGACGGCTCGTACCCAGGCTCGTGCCGCCCTTGCAGACGCCCGCCCGAATCCCAATCCTGAGGTTCCAGGGAAGCCGCTTTTCGCTCCTGGTGACCTGGTCTACGTTAAGAAGATCAACGCTCCGCAGCTGACTCCTCGGTGGGACGGGCCTTTCCAAGTCCTCATCAGCACGCCCACGGCGGCCCGGGTTGCGGGAAAGACTGCTTGGATTCACCATTCCCGGTTAAAGAAGGCACCGACTCAGGACGACGAGGGAACATGGCGGATCATCCCCTCCACCGACCCACTGAAGGTCAAGCTAACCCGGTCAGATGGACAATTATAGTTCTGATCCTGTTTTCCTCCTTATATTTGGGTGTAACCCACCCCCTCGTCAAACCCCGATGGGTACTCCTCAGGACTTCTGATGGGAGTATAATTACTGAGAATGTCACCTACTCCTCCACCCCTACCTTGGCCTTCGATCTTAGCAAGGTGTTTGGCGACCTTTGTCGCGAACTAGGCCTCCGGAACAGGGGGGGAGCATTCTCGTCTGGCCTGGGAGTAGCAGGGAGGGAGTGCGATCCCCTTTATGTCGCTAGACAATTGTGGCGCACCCCCCTCTACGGGTGTCCAGGGTTCCAGCCACGACAGACCTGTGGAGGCATCGAGGATTATTACTGCCATCACTGGGGGTGTGAAACCTTCGCCCCTTGGAAGGGGCAGACAGACTCGGACATCCAGTTCCTGAGGCATACCACCCCCAGACCGGAGAGTTGTTCACAGTCAGATCAGTGTAATCCGACCACCATACTTGTTAAGCAGGGGAGTCAGGCCTCATGGTCCACTGGGAAGACATGGGGGGTCCGCTTGTACCTACCGGGCCAGGATCTAGGGGCCCTGTTCACAGTTCAGAAATTGCAAGTCCGACGCCCCCCTAACCCCATAGGTCCGAATAAGGTACTAAACCCCGGACCCAGACCCATCCACCAGCCTGAGCCCACTGCCCCCGCAGCAACTTCCACCCTCGGACCTGACCAGACCCCACCTCCGGGAGGACCTGCAGATATCCCTCCCAGTTTTCCCCAACACTCACTTTTGAGAACTCTCGACTCTGTCTTCTCTCTCCTAAATAGTTCGAACCCAGAGAGCACTACTGAATGCTGGCTCTGTCTAGATCCTGCCCCACCCTATTATGTTGGTATCGCCGCCAACATCTCCGTAGGGAATTCTACAGCTCTGGTCAGGAATCTGACTCTCTCTGACGAGGT